GTTAGACCTAGTCTGGCTCAGTGGTAAGGGTTCCCAGACAGAAGCACAATTCAGACAACAGGATCAGGGTCCTCTTCAGCAATTTAGGATTTATTTCCGTGTAGCATGACCTACAACAATGGGATCATGTCCCAGAGAAGGTAGGAGAAAACAAGGTTACCAGAAACTAAAAGACAGCGATAAATTATAAAGTCAAAAGCCTCTGGCTGGTGTGGCTCAGTGGTTGAGTGTTGACCCATGCACCAAGAGGTCGCCAGTTTGATTCCCAGTCAGGACACACGCCCAGGTGGTGGGCCGAATTCCCAGTGGGGGCCATGCAGGAGGCGGCCAATTGATGTCCTCTCTCATCGATGTTTCTCTCTCTGTTTCTCTTTCTCACTTCCTCTCTCTCTAAAATCAATAAAGGAAAAAAAATTCTTTTTAAAGCCCCAACACAGAACACAGCCAACAAGCATTTACTGGGAGTCTGTTGTATGCCTGATTCTTGGCTAGGCTCTGGAGACATGGGAAACAAAACAGACATGGTCCTGAATCACAAATTGTGGTGAAAGCTATGAAAAAAGAACTAAAGCTCTGAGAGATCTAACTGAGGGTGGGTAGAGGTAGTGGGACAAGATCATAAAGAAAAGCCTCTTTGAATAAGTGACAATTTAATCTCAACCCTAAAGTCACTTAGGTGAAGATAAGAGGGAAGCAGGAGGAGGATATGGCTAGGAAGCAGGGAGGGAAGAATAGCTCAAGCCAGGAGAGTGGTGGTACAAAAATCCTGAGGCTGGAAAAGGCTTGGGTAATTCAAGGAACTTAAAGACCAACTAGAGTTAGATGGTCAGAAAGGGGGGCGGGTCATAAAAAAGATGAGAAGGTTAGAGAGACAGGAGGCCAGATCTCGCAGAGCCTCTTATGAAAAATAAAGTCCCAAACTACCTGAGTGCAATGGGAAGCCATGAGGGTTTTGATCAGGGAAGCAGTAGGATCCTGATGGGGTTCTAAGTCCTCCAACTACCTATGCTCCATTCAGCCTAATGAACCAGAGCCAGCTTGGCAGCAAAGGGGCAGAAGCCAGTATTTGTAGCTGAGCAGCACGATACCAGCTCTGGGATAACAGAGTTCATTTTAAGGCCCTCCAAGTGTTCCAGCGTTGCAAGTTTGGGAGAAAGATGGCACCACTGAAAATTACAGAAAAATCTGATGAAAGAGCTAGTTTGGGAGGCAAAGTTGGACATGACTCTAAGCACAGTGCATATAAAGACATAGTGAAGAATTCCAGCAGGTAAGCATGGTGGTTATTTGGATTATGGAAGAGAGGCCAGGCACAGATATGCAGGTTAGTAAATAGAGGTGATAGATACTTTAGGTACCAAAAGTAAAGAACATTTTCAAAGAGTAGAAAAAGAGAAAAATAAAACAAGAACAACAAAAGGAGCCTCAGCCCGATCCTTAGTGTTTGTTTATCTCTGGAACAGAAGTCGAGATAAAAGTGTATTAAAAGGGACAGAGCATGAAAGAATTTTTTGTGTGTGGGGGGGGGAGTGATATAACTTTGGTACCTTAGCTGTGGTTGTGGTTACATAAATCTATATGTGTGTTAATATTCCTAGAACTGTATACACACTAAAAGTCAGTGCTACTACATGTTAATTTTAAAAAAATAAAATTCAAAGGGGGTAGGGATAGTCAAAAGGATTGACTGCAAAAAGATGTTCTGGGAAATTTAACCATTAGGAAAAGCCTCAGTGAGTGGTGAGGTTGGGAGCCAGGATGCAAAGATTCAAATAATGACTGAGTAGTAAAGGGAAGCCGTCATTATAGCCTCCTCTTTTAGAACTTGAAGAACAGAATGGTATGGCAGCTCAAACAGATAAGTAGAACTGGGAGATTTAGCAAACTGGCAGAACCGAACTTCTAAGACCATATGTGTTGTTCCACTTAAGTATTCTTCTAGAATATACATTTTGTACATGAACTATACACTTCTTTACTGTCCCATTAAACTAAAACTGCTAAAATGAACCCAAAGTCATTACATCTTTAACTCTGCTCCTTAGTTAGCTAACATTCACTATGCCCCTACTATGTGCCAAGCACTGTGCTAGATACAAAAGCTCCTGGTACCTAAAAGAGCACACAGGATTAATCACAACAGCAAGTTAGTGAAATACAGATCTGCACAAAGGGCTCTGAAAGCTGTGACCTCTAATTACATGCATTTTATTTATCTTTATAAAAATTAAGCAGGGAGCGCCCTGGCCGGTTTGGCTCAGCGGTTGGAGCGTCGGCCTGCGGTACAGAGAGACCCGGGTTCGGTTCCCGCTAAGGGCACATACCTCGGTTGCAGTTTGTCCCCGGCCCTGGTTGGTCATGCGAGTGGCAGCCACTCGATGTGTCCCTTCACATCGATGTTTCTCTCTCTCTCTCTTCCTCTCTCTCCCTCCCGCTCTATCTGAACAAAAAAAAAAGGAAAAATGTCCTCTGGTGAGGATAAAAAAAAAAAAAAAAAATTAAGCAGGGAGGAAATAAAAACAAATCATAGATGTACTTTGGTACAGATGTTAATTTTTAAAAGCTAAAGGTGAGCTTATTAATTTTTTTCTTTAGAAAATATTTTTAATTGATTTTAGAGAGGAAGAGAGAGACAGAAACATTGATGAGACAGAACATCTATTGGCCACCTCCTGTATGCCCCCCACTGGGGATTTGGCCCACAACCTGGGCATGTGCCCTGACCAAGAATCGAACTGGCAACCTCTTGGTGCATGGGTAGACACTCAACCACTGTGCCACACTGGCTAGGTGAGTTGATTAAATCCTTAAATCAGGTGTGGGCAACCTAATCATTAGTGGCAATCCCCTTTACTATTCCTCTCTCCTTTTCAGTGTCCTTTCCATATTTCTTCCTCCGCATAATTTAGAATGTAAAATGGAACTAAGCACAGGCTTTGAAACCAGACAGACTTGAGACTAAATCTATGCCTCTGAACTACCTAGCTGTGTGGCTCTTGGAGGCTTTTTCTCATCCATAAAACAGTAATGATACCTATCCCACAGGCTTGAGTTGAGGTAATGATTAGAAAAAAAAACAAAGGCTGGCATATAGGAAGCACACAATAAATGTATTACTATCGTTTGAACAAATATTGTTCTGATTTTAAACATTTTTAAGTGCTCTTTTTGAATGATGAAAAAAATTATTGTTTCAAGGGTATGACATTTATCTGCTACTTAGAAGAGCAGCTTGGGAATTTCTCCTCCCTAAGTCCTATCACAAACTATTCTGCTCAAATAATGTTTGGGACAAGCACACTTAAAAACGGCCAAGAACTGCCCTGGCCAGTTTGCTCAGTGGTTAGAGCTAGGCCCTCGGACCAATGAGTGGAGGGCTTGATTCTGGTCAAGGGCATGTACCTTGGTTGGGGTTCACTGGGCTGGGTCTTGTGGAGGCAACCAGTTGATGTGTCCCTCTCAAGTCGATGTTTCTCTCCCTCCCTCCCACTCTATCTGAAGATAAACAGAAAAATATCCTTTGGTGAAAATGAAAAAAAAAGGTCAAGAACTAAGAAAATATAAAGGCATTCAAGTGGGACAGCCAGTCTGATCTGTGTTCTGGACATGTGCCTTATAGCAACCTACTACATTCATATCCCTCCCACTACCTACCTACAGCAATACTACACACCACACACCATAGAAGTGCAAGACAATGTGCTAAATGCTCTGCTTTTTAAGAGGAATTTACAAAACACTACCAAAAGAATAAATATGGTTTCAAAGCCAAGATCACCAATGCTTCCCCAAATCAATAGGAAACGACCATCTTACTGAAATTCCCCACAAAGATGAAGAAAACAGTTGCTATTGTTAAACTTTCACAAAATGCTAAGATGTACACCTTACTTCTGTATGCTTAACTGCTGGGGGGTGGGGAGGAGAACTAACGAAGTTTATTCAATGACTATGGAGAAACATCTCTGGCAAATTTTGTATAATTTTGCTTATATTGTAATACAAATGATCAACTTGAAATTCGCTTTATCCCTTGCTCAATCTCTAGCACAGATGCTAAAAAAGCAGTATAACAGCCAAAACATGAGAAAGAAAGGAGTCTGGAAAAAAACCAGACTGATACCCTGTGTCCAAAGAATTGAGGATGGACTGGTCCTTAACGCACTCACAAGAGGCTCCCCGTTACTGGGTGTCCACAGCCACTACAGAGTATATAGACCACTGTGGGCTAATAACCCCGCTAGTTTAAAACTAAAGGGCGCCGGACCAGAGGAAGACAGAAAACACTCGTCGAGCTGTTTCGTCCAATGTTATTCCTCTCGTTTCCTCGTGGAAAGTGAATCGCCTGTCGAAGATGGGCACACACGCAGGGCTCTGGGACTAGCGATGAAGGGGTGGTACCCCGGCCTGCGTTAAGCAGGTGAACACATTCACTCGGTAGTGCACGTCCTGCACACAGGCAGAGACCGGGAGGCCCCGAGGCCTGACGCCTCTCTCTGACACGCGCCTCCGCGGGCCTCAGTTCTCCGTCGCGACGGGGACCCCTCCCTGCCCAGGGGCCCCCGGGCCACGGGAAGCGAACCCGACTCGGTCAGCCCACCCGGAAGCCTTCCCCAGCTCATACCTGCCGGCGCGTGACACCCACAGCCGCGCGCGCCCGCCCGTCCCGGCCCTACCATTCCGGGAGCCCCTTCCTCGCGCGCAAGACGTCGCCCGCATCCCTACCCGCCCTGGGGTCAAATCCACCCGAGGCCCGCCCCCACGGAGCACGCGCTCAACACCACAGCCCCTGCCAGGCCCCGCGCGCGCTCACGCCCCTCCCGGCCCTCTCCCCGCCACGCTCGCTCACTGGCGAGGACTAGCACACTCTGCGCCTCAGCTTGACAGGCCTGCCCGCGCCGCGCGCTCCAGCGGGGGTCCTCGCCCACCCGGCCGCCCAGTTCTGATTTGCGGTGTGCGGGGGAGGAGAAGAGCGGCAGTGGCCGTCGGTCCTCACTCACCGCCGAGCCGTGCCGGTTCCGAGTGCGCGATGTTCCGCTGTGAGACGATGCGCTGCGATGCGCGTGGTCCCCGCTCTTCCGCAGGCTGTGGAGGCGACGTAGTAGGGGGACTGAGGAGAGCGGGGGTCAGTCCCTCCCGCTTCACCTCCCAGAAACACGGGGACCCCAGAAACTAAAAACAAAATAAACAAACTTTCCCCTCCGCCTCCCTCCCCCAAAACCACAACACAAACACTCAGGGGCCCGCCTACAACCCCATTCCATTGGCTGCAAGAAGGATGCCTCCGGCTCTCACTGGCTGGCTTTTGTACTCGTCAGGTTGATGCTCCGCCCCCCCAATTCCTTGCCTCGGCCATCGCCCCTCATTGGTCAAGTGCTTCCCGTTTGACGAGCTAGGATTGGCTGATGTGCCTGCGCCAATCATTCGGGGACACACCCCCTTAGCTTCCCAGAGGCCGCTTCCTCGGTCTCCGACCCGGAGAGGCGAAGGGGAAACTAGAGCATGATGGCGGCCGAGCTCATTACGCACAACCATCGTCTTTTTTCTTTTTTTTTAGCTCATTAGTGCCAGCCCTCGCATAGTATCCCCTAAGTTCCTCTCTCCATCCAGTACTGTCTAATAACGGAATGTATACGTGCCGGCTTCTTGATTTATCTCCGCCGAAGTGCTGAGTGTGGGCTGGTCGTGCGTCATTGGACTGTCAGGATGTCACTCCCTAGTCAAATCTTTAAACTATTGGTGGAACAGCAAGAAAGCCCGTCCAACAACAAGGGCCAATGCCATTGGTTTGACGCCACTGAGTTCTTTTCTGGTACCCTATTGGGCAAACAGGCGCGTCAGTCAGATCTGTATTCACTGTGCTAGTTAATTGTTTACCAGGGAGTTTGGATGACTCTAGTCCTTTGGCCTGTAGTTGACAATAATAATGACTACCACTTATTGCGTACCCACTTTGTGCCAAATACTGTGCAGAGTCTTGTATAGGGATTATCTGGTTAAACCTGTGAGGTTTACAAATTCTCTTAAATTTTACAGATAGGAAACCAAGGTGTCAGAGGTTGAGAAACTTGCCCAAGGTCACCTGGCATTTGGCCCCAGACACATTTCAAGAGCCTTTTCTCTGTTTTCATTGTACTTTCAGTGCCTCTCTCTTAGCCCAAAATTGTACCTTGTCAGCCAACCGAATATCTTAAAGACATTTCATTCAGAACCCAAGTTCCTTAATCAGTTTCTAGAAGTGATGTTGTTGGGAACTAAAGCTATGGAGAGGTTGTCTTTGCCTCCACCACATCTTCCTCTCCAGGACCTATTCTTCCCCACCCTAAAATAAACAATCGTAGTGCTTCCTGACCAGAAGCCCATCTATCTCTATGTTCATTTTCTCAGCTGTATAAATGGACATTTCTACTATATTTGTGTGCCAAGCCTACCTCCTCAACCCCCACCCTACCTTTGGAGAAGGTCCTCAAGAGCTCGAAGCAAGGAGAAAGAGTCTAAAGAGAGAGAGAAAAATAAATTGCTTTAGAAATAAATAATTGATTGCATGCAAAGGGAACAGCCCTTCAGCTCCTGGAAAGCTTCCAGAGTCGCCCCTGATACTGTGCAAGACGTTTGCACCTGGCTCATGGCCATTGGATTCTTTTTCTGTGGCAGCTTACAGTGAAGTGAATCCAACATTCCAGCCAGGGGAGGGCAGGATTCTTAGGACCCACTGCCAGCCCCAGCCTCTGGGAATCATCTCCAGGAGTATATTGCTGGACTCGAGCCAACATTCCCTCTCGAGTAATTAACATTTTACCATCCCAAATCCCCATCCTCTGTAGCTTCAGTGGGATCAGCACCCTTGTTTCACTTCCTGATCCAAACTGTTGTGTAACCTCACTGACACTGCTTTAATAATAAAACAACCATTTTAACATAGTAATAATGCTCAACACTTAAAGCCTTTCAGCAGAGGAAGACAAGGCATTTCACAAACATCAATTAAGATTAAATGGCAGGTATTCCTAGGGCAACTGACAGCAGAAAATAATGAATCAAATTCTAATAAAGGTCTAAAATCCTGAATCTTTGTAACTACATGCACATACCCCATACTAGCATTCCAATATGGGATTCTGGGCTAGAAAACCCAATGAATGAGAAATGTCCAGGGTCCAAAACCTTCTTTATCTTTATAGTTGTTTGTATCTCTATTTTAACCCCTAAACCAGTACTTGTTTTTTTGTTGTTGTTTTGTTTTGTTTTTTATCCTCACCTGAGGAAATTTTTCCATTTTTTGTTCAGATAGAGTGGGAGGGAGGGAGGGAGGGAGGGAGAGAGAGAGAGAGAGAGAGAGAGAGAGAGAGAGAGAAGCATCGACGTGAAAGGGACACATCAAGTGGTCGCCACCTGCACGACCCAACCAGGGCCGGGGACAAACTGCAACCAAGGTATGTGCCCTTAGCAGGAACTGAACCCGGATCTCTCTGGACCACAGGCCGACGCTCTAATCGCTGAGCCAAACTGGCCAGGACCCAGTACTTGGTTTTATAGTTAATTGTCAGACATATTTATCTCCCCCAACTCAGTTGTAAGTTCCTTGAAAACAAATGATTTCTTTTTCATTTTTTTATTCCTTAAATTGCTCTGATTATTACAGTTCCCCAAAGAAAAATTATTCAGTAAATGAAACATTGCTGGAGGCAAAAATGACAAAAGTGAAGCTGTCCTACTTCAGGTATGTCATTGAGAAGGTGGGGCTCTTTGGAAAGGACAGTAAAGCTGGGAAAAATAGAAGGCAGTGGGGAAAAAAGTAAGACCAAATATGAGATGGATTGACTCCATAAAAGAAGTCATAGGCATGAGTCTACAGGAGCTAAGCAGTCTGTTGAGGAAAGAACATTGTGGGCATCCATCACTCATTAATAGGGTTGCCAGAAGTTGGAGCCGACTCAGTGGCATGTAAGGCATGTAACACACAAATGTTTATTGAGCCTGTTGGCACTTTCTTAAGATACAGAGGCTACACAGATGAATAAAACACCTCTGCCTTCAGGGACCTCAGTCTAGTGGGGGGTGACCAAAAGTAAACAGATAATCACTGTGCAGGTGGCTTGAAGCACATGGGAGGAGCACAGAACTCAATCTTGGATGGACAGGGATGGCTTCCCAGAAGAAGTGACATCTACAAGGAGAACTAAAGGATGAATTGTGGTTAGCTGGGTAAGAAACTGGAAATATATGATGACCTGCCACATTTGCTCTCTGGGTACAGGGAGCAGGATAGGAATATCCAGGAGTAACCAAAGATTCTTCTTATAATCTTTGTCTTTGAGGGCCTTCAGCTATCTATTCACTCCACCTTGTTGAACTTCCCTCCCCCAGAAAAAGCAGGAAGCTGGAAACCCTGTCATGTTTGCCCATTTGAGAACAGGAAAATAATTTTCAGATAAGATTGCTGGCTTTTCCTGCTCATAAAAGTAACATTGAGTAAAGATTTTAGATAATACAGAAAGTTTTACAGTAGAGAATAAAAGCTCCTCAAAATTCCACTACTAGAGCCAACCACTGTTAAGGAGAGCACCCTCCAAGACTCTTTTATGAATAGACCCACACGTGGATTTCTTCCAACAGTGAGGTGTGCTTTAAGGGTCTTAACTCACTCTTGAGAGCTCCCATTACTCAAAACTGCAGCGCTGGAAGGAACTTGTCCTCACTCTCTATACTTATGGGAGGGAAGCCAATAAATCAACCAAATATTTATTGCAGAGAATAATGGTTTCAAATCTCTGTTGCAGCAACAACAAATTGCCACCTGTTACAGGACTTTGGGTCTTGCTCAGCCTGGTGTGGAGTCAATGAATGGGTGGTGTGAGGTGTGAGGTGTGAGGAGGGGGAGTGCTGTGCTTATTGCTCTAGGGCTTACTGTCATGTTTTGGTGGTTGTAGAGTTAATTCATGCCTAGAAAAGGCAGGCCAGGTCAGAAAATGACATGCTAAGGTGCTCTCCTATGCTCTCTCATTTCTTCTCTGCTTGGAACTCAGGGAAAATATTTTTTGTTTGTTCCAACCCACCGGCTTTGAGAGTAAAAAGACTCATCAAGCCCCACACACCTGTATGCAGGCCAAGTACAGTATGTTCTTGGAGCGCTATACTATTCTTAGAGCTCTATATGTGGTATTCAATGCAGCTGGCTTTTTGCTGGAGGGAAAGGCAGATTTAATGAGTGATAGCTGCCTTGGATGTCTACCAAAAGTGCTCTAAGCCATTCCAAGCAACAGGCCTTCACTTTTTCCCTTGAGAGAGTGCCTGTGATCCCTGAACACATTGCATTGGCCTGGATAAAATCCAATGGAACAGGAATTTCTGCGAATGATTCTACATTGACCCACAAGCTTCGGGTGACATAGCCAGCTGGATCTGCTCCAGCTCTGATTTCTGCAGCACAGGAAAACTCCCTCTACCCTTTGCACTGGCTTCTCATTGCTATGAGATGTTGGGAAGTGTTTATAAAGCATTCTTCAATTCTCCAAACTTATAAACATGGGAAGATCCCTGCAAAGGAACCTAATCCAAAAAGACAAGAGGACAGGAGACAGCTGATACTGCTCACTTGAGCGGTGGGTGTGGCCACAGCCAAGGCCAAAAGCAGTGGGGGAGGGGAACTTTCTAAAGGGTGCTGATTACAGAGGACATGCTCATAACCATTTATTACATGTCTGGTAGCATTTATTGTGCAACAAAGCCCTTGTGACAGATGCTGTGCCACTTCTAAGTCACCTCTCATTTCTTATGACCGCACTTCCTGAAAAGCTCCTAGTGAAGCAGCAAATGTTGAACTGTTCCTGTGTGCTGGTCACAGGAGGTTCGCAAGACAACCAGGAGAGATGGCTGTTAATAATAGCTACCCTGCCCCGGCTGGTTTGGCTCAGCGGTTGGAGCATCGGCCTGCGGACCAGAGAGTCCCGGGTTCGGTTCCCGCTGAGGACACATGCCAAATAAAAACAAAATAATAATAATAGCTACCCTTTCGTGAACACTTGCTGTGTTTCAGACACTGTGTGAGGGCTTTACATGGATCCTGGCAGTTAATCTTCACAACAAATGTGGTTTTCCTGTCTCCAGGTAGGGAAATTGAGGCACTGAAGGGCTAACTTGCCCCAGGTTACCACAGGTAATAACTTTGCAGTTGAACCCAGATAGTCTGACTAGAGTAAAATCTTTTCC